AGAGAGAGTGGCAGATAGAGTGAGACACACAGAGCAGCAAAGAGAGATAGACAGAGATAGATAGATAAATAGATAGATAGGTAGAGATAGAGAGGGAGAGAGAAAGAGAGGTAGAGAGAAGGAGAGAGAGAGAGACAGAGAGGCAGAGAGGGAGGAACAGAAGACGAGGGACGAAAGGGAGGATGGCGCTCTAAAGAAAAATCCCTCCAAACTATGAGTTTGTAGCCAGAACCTGTTTTCACCAAACACCTTGTGAACAATACAAACGGAATTGTGTCATTCCGCTTTGAGACTTTGAAAGCAAAATCGCCTTTCCAGCTCTAAATCAAAACATCTATCCTCTTTGGAAACAAAATCATGTTTTCCAGCCATGAGTCGAAGCAATCTATCATTTTTAAACAAATCGTCTTTTGCTTTGGGTCTAAAAAAAACTAGCAGATTTTTTTGGGGTGAAAAATAAGCATGGGAAAAACAGTCATTTTTACAAAACGTAGCCTACCTAAGTAGATGACAAAACTAGACTATCCATGCAAACAATGGGTGTGTGTATGGGGGGTGATTCTTATACTGTTAAATAAAGTGTGCAGAAATAAACAATACAGAGTAATAATAATATATGACACCGGTTGACTTACACGTAAATACTTCACGAAAACATAATTTGTTTACATAATACAAATAATAATATTATTATGCTAAAGAGTGGATCTTAAACACCCTTCTCAATACTGTATGATTATTTTAGTTGTGTTTCCAAAAATATGTGTACCCCTTAGAAGATAATAATAAATGATTTTAAAAAATAAAAATAAAAATAAATACTGGCCCCAAATATAAGTAATTGACAAAACATGTTTATCAGTAATCACATCTTCTTCACCTAGTTAAGTAAATTATGCCAATCTTTCTAAATGTTGCGAACCAGTTGTCATACACAGTATGTTTACTTGGAAACTTTCTCCATTTCCTAAAACAAAAATAATCAGAATGGTATTCTTTTAAAACTTGCATTGTAGATTAAATTAGCTTCAACGAAATTAGACTTGCTAATCTACACAGTCTTAAAAAAGTAACCTTTCTCCATTTCATCAACAAAAATAATCAGAATGGTATTCCTTCAAAACTTGCATTGTAGATTAAATTGGCTTTAACGAAATTAGACTTGCCAATCTACAGTCTCCCCCCCCCCCCCCCGCCCCCCCAAAAAATTAAAATAAGGTAAAATGAACTTGGAATTTAGAAACATTATGACAACACAAATTGAAAGTGGGGAATGGGACAAAACGAAACACAAATTACTTTAACTTGACACTGTAAACTGGTCACTGTGAAAAACACTCCTGTGAAGGGTTATAAGTTAGTTCTCATGCATAGACTTGTAGTACAATCATAGACCGAGCACTTTGATGAATTTCCGGTTCATTATGGAGCGCACCAGTGGTGTCATTTTGGAGCCAATACATCGTTACCTCAGAATAACAAAGTTCTATCGGACATTTTTCGCCTTTTTGGGTTACTAGAACAACCAGGTCAGAAATCAAATATTTTATCTGCTCTCTTAAAATTGTAGAACTATTGGGAGTCGTTATCTAGATTTTCAAAAAGTTGCATTCGGAAAAGCTTGCCATGTAAAACTCAAAAATTATTATTTGACGTCAGATTTCTCAAAACTGGGTACTGAGCAGAAAGAACGTTAAGATTCTGACCACAAAAAGAAATCTGCTGCGCATTCTCAACTATAGCGAGACGTGTTTTTGTCTTTTTTTTGCGAGCCCGAGGAGCAAAATCTTTGCAGCAATGTTTTTATAGAGACCAAAACAGCGGCAGCCGCAAAAGTGCTAGGTCTATGATGTTATAGTTCAAGCCTGTTCTCAAGTCAAGTCAAGTGTTAACCAGTTTGTTGGATTAGTTATAAACTCACACTATTTGAGGAAATCCCCCTCAAAAGGTTCTGTGTCTCCTACATTTTTTTTCCATTTTGCCGAAAATTCTTAAGAATTATATTTAGGAGCATGCCGATTAAAAGAACAATCTAAATAGGAAATAATTTCACCTAAAACAAGAAATAAAGAAATAAAAATTATGTCAACTAAGCTAAAACAAAATGAAGAAAAGGTGCTGAACTAAATGAGATTATTAACGAAAGCTTTATTGTAATGTCTTTGAACTCTCCATGTTGGAAATCTCTGTGTACATGTGTCATGCAATAGAGTTGTTGCCCAAAAGGACCAGCTTGAGATTTTAGAAGAAACATAAAAACAACAAAAAGTCACATATTTGTTTTCTGTGAAAATTTAACAAATGTAGAAAACATCATTTTAGGGGATGAAAAAACGAATCCTATATTAGCTCAATGTGATGCCATTTGTAAGCCGCTTTGGCATTCTTGTATTTCTTAGAAGATGAACATACTACACGTAGACTTTACGTTATGCAGAGGAAGGCAAAGAATAACATGGATGGACAACATAAGGATATGAACTGGCACGGATATGGCAGAATGTGCAACGGTAGTTGGCGGCGTTGAGAGATGGAGGGTCATTACACGTCAACCTCTGAGTCACAGATGACATCTCCAGGTATCCAAGTATCCAGGTATGTATCATTCACATAATCTCAAGTACTGTAATAGTTTCTAATGGTGTGATTTGAACGCCATAGGAACCTAATCTGAATATACAACCGGGTTTTCACAATCATCTATTTTCTTGCATTAAAGGCATGGACTTGAAGTTTGCTAAAAGTCCAAACACAGATCAAGAACACCCTATACTTTGTGAGGTCTGCAGCTGTTTTATGGTGATTGCAAAGGTGTTAGTTTAAATTGTCACATGCTTTTATTATTGTTAAGATTCTTGAAGAAGAACAATCAATGTTTTGCAAACTGAGGACACGCAGTCAAACGAACAGACAGGCATGCAAATTCACCTTCAGTTTATCCTGGGATCAAATGAGCAAGACAGGAAAGATAAATGTTAATTTCTGTTGTGATAAGAAACATAGTAAAAGTTCTGTATCTTAGCACACTGTTTAATTTCCTAAGTATTCACCCTGGCTTTGCTCGTGGGGTCTCCACCCCTACCCTCACTCTCTCTCAATTTCTCCCTCTCTCTCTCTCACTCTCTCTCT